GACCCTCTTTTTAACCATCTTCCTAAACCAACCTTCTTTACCCATAACATAGTCATCTAGATTCCATATATCCTCCCACCAACTAGAGCAATGAATCTCCCACTCATCACCCCTCCATACATTCATTCTATCAACATTATACTTAGACTCTAGCACCCTACTCCATAATGAATCTTTATCCTCCAGCAACCTTTATCTCCACTTTCTTAGTAATGCCAAATTAAAAAGTGCTAAATTTTTTACTCTAAGACCCCCAACCTTTTTATTCCAACACACTTTCTCCCACCTGACCCAAGTAATCCTACTATTATTCTCTCTTCCCTCCCAAAGGAACCTCTTCTGAATTAAAGACAGTAAGTTTAAAACCTTTTTGGGTGCTTTGAGAGTTGAGAAATAGTAGACAGGAATACTCGAGAGGACAGCATTGAGGAGGATAATCCGTCCACCAAAAGACAACGAATCACACCTCCAGGCTAACAACTTATGTCTAAAACAGTCAATCACAGGGGTCCAGGTTGATAGTTTCCTCAAATTTGCTCCAACAGGGACACCAAGATACATGAAAGGTATATTTCTTGGCATACAGTTTAGCATTTTAGCCATATCATTCAAATCCTCTTTTTCGACATTGACACTAGATATGGAGCTTTTGAAGAAATTCGCCTTTAATCCTGAAATAAGCTCAAAGCTCCTGACAATACATTTAATAGCCTCGCCGAAGAGGATTGTATCGTCCACAAATTGTAGATGGGTAATTTCCACTTCCCCATGACCTACGGACACCCCTTTGAAAATGCCTTCATCTACCACCTTCATTATTAGTTCGTTAAGTGCCGCAGCCACCACTAGGAACAAGAAGGGAGCTAGTGGATCACCTTGGTGAAGTCCTTTTTCTGTTTGAAACTCTTCCGTGGGGCTTCCATTAACCAAAACCGAAGTATAAGCAGAATAAAGACATCCTTTAATCCAGGAGCACCATTTTGAGCAGAAGCCTAGCTTTCGCAAAATGAAATCCAAAAACTCCTAGTTCACACTATTATAAGTTTTTTCGAAATTTGCCTTAAAAAGCACAATGGGTTCCCTTCTTCTTTTTGCCTCATGAATCAGTTCATTTGTGATTATAACACCATCTGCAATTTGCCTCCCTCCGATAAAAGCAAATTGGTTTAGGCTAATAATAAAATCCATGATCCTTCTCATATAGTTGACAAGGAGTTTAGATACTATTTTGTATAGGCAACCAATGAGGGAGATTGGGCAATAGTTTGTTAGACTAATGGGGTTATCTTTTTTAGGAATAAGGACTATAAAGGATGCATTACTACCCCTCACCAACTTTCCATTGGAATGGAACTCTTCAATGAACCTGTAGATCTCCTCTTTCATGACTGGTCACATTCTTTTAATAAATTTGAAATTTAGTCCATCCGAGCCTGAACTCTTGTCTCCATTGCAACTCCAGACTACTTCCTTGATTTCTTCTTCCGCAAATGCTACCACCAACATGTCATTCTCCTCCTTACTAACTTGTTGAAAAATATTTAAATCCAGTCTTGGCCTACGCCACTGATCTTTTTCAAATTTTCTTTTGTAAAAATCCTTGATGAAATTTTTTATTTCCATGGCATCTTCAATCCATTCTCCATTAATCCACATACCATTAGTTCCATTCTGTTTTCTTCTTTTTGCTATACATCCATGAAAATACTTGCTATTAGTATCACCCTCCTTAAGCCATCTCTGTCTTGATTTCTGGTGTAGCAAATTGTCTTTTGCCTTGTTCCACTCTCAGAGACTAAACCAGCAATCTTTCCTCTTCGTCACCTCCTCCTATATGAGTGTGTCCTCCTCACCCTTCTAAGCCAACGTCTTTATTTCCTCCTTCAATGCATCAATATTTTTCTCAATGCTTCCATAAGTGTCCATGTTCCATGCCTTTAAGTCCTTCTTCAAGCACTTCAATTTCTCCTTAAGTATAAAACAACCCCATCCCTCCACCTTATAGCTTTCCCATTTCTCCATAACAAAATCATTAAAGCCCTTATAATTCAGCCAGCTATTTAAACATCGAAAGGGTTTAGGCCCCCAGTCAATTTGAGATTATTGAAGAACAATAAGGCAATGATCAAATATTTCTTTCTTTAAAGCCAACTGAGAAATATCTAGAAAATTAATAAGAAATTTAGGAGATAGCAAAAACCTATCTAACTTGCTCATTATAGTACCGTCTGACTTATACCAAGTAAACTTCCTTCCTATCATAGGGACATATTCCAGTCCTGCATCTATAATGAACTTGCTGAAATCCCTAGCATATGCTGGATCATACCATTTACCCTTCTTTTCCCCCATATCTCTTATGGCATTGAAATCACCACCAATGCACCAATTACTAGCACCATAATCTTTAATTATACTTAGAAGCTCATCCCTTAACCTCTATTTACCTTGTTTATCGTAAGGAGAGTACACCTTTATAAAAAAGCAAGGGCTTCGCTCCTTTCCCCAAACACCTTGCATACCACAAAAATTGTTACCATCTACTTTCTTATTTAACATAAAAACACTAGGGTTTCAAATACAGAGAATGCCATCTCTCATTTGCTGGACTTGCCACCCATTCACAATTATCCGACCCCCAAATCAATCTACAAATGCGATTATCACATACCTCCAGTTTTGATTCCTAAATAAACAGAAGATCTACTTTCTCCTTCCTGATTAATTCCCTCAATCCTCTCCTTTTGTTGCCACCTCCCAACCCTCTGACATTAATTGACACAATCTTCATGGGTCGCTATCTCTTCCCCCCTCGTAGTTGCTTTCGCCATCCTCTGCTTAGCCATTTCTTTTTTGTCCTTTTTCTCCATTTCTCCCAACTGCCTTATGACTTCCTCCGCATTCCCTTCTACCACCAAGCCTAGCTACTTCCCAATCATCCATAATTCCATGGCCTCATTACTCTAGTTCTTCTTACCTCTAGCACTTGGTGTCAGATCTGTGATTGCGTGTTGGTTTGATCTGAGTTGTAGATCCATGGCCTTTACCCCTTGTGTCTTCTTTACTTGCTTTCTTTTCCTTTTTCTTTCTCATGCAAGCCTTTCTACTCTTGCTTGGAAGATTTTGTTGTTGCTCGCAAAACCGTCCCAAAATGGTTAGGTACTTCGTTCCTCCTGTATCTCTTCTTGTCTTCTATCCTCTATTCCTCCTTTTCTTGACTTTTGTCGATCGTAATCTGTTGAAGCACTTAAGTTCTCATCACCCTCCAACTTATTGTATTTATTGTTGGGCTTATTTTAAGCATCCTTCATATTATGAAATGTTCCATGGCTTATTGGGCCTTGAGTCGGTGTGGGCTGAAGCTCCAAACTTCTTATATTAGCCTTTTGTCTCATGTGATGAATTGGGGTAAAACCTAGTGGGTGAGTCTCTACTGAAGATGAGTGACCTGTTGTCAAATCATTGCCCAAATCAACCGTTGGAAAATCTTTTTCAATTTTTAGCAATACACAGCCAATGTTCTCCTCATTCCTTGCCATAGCCACCTCCCCGTTTGAATTTTGCTTCTCCACATTTATTGACATGTCAGCCACCTCGAATGAATCAGGCACCTTTTCGCCTTCCTCCTTTCCCACCAGTGTCAGTGTCATCTCCACCATTACAAACTCCTCTACATCGTCATCCAATACTTGCCATTCACCCCAATTTGCATCTGAATATCATCCATCTTCATTTATCTCATTAGACCAATCTTCTTCAATTGAGTTATCCTCCCCACATAAGCGAAAGTCTATTCTCAATGAAAAAATATTATCCACTCCCACTTCCTCACTGACTCTGACGTGGAAAATGGATTCTCGAGCCTTGACCCTTATGGTTCTGTTTATGTTTTCCTAGACTGGCATTAGAACCAAAATCTTTGCAACGTCCAACCTTGTTTTTTTAATTGTATTGTTGTCTGGCAAGATAAATCTACCATATAAGCTTGCAACAGTCTGAAAAAAGATGCTTTTCCATATGTGTAATGGTACCCCTTGGCACCAAATCCACGTGAATCTTTCAGAGGCAACCTCGATTGGAGACCATGGACACACCTCCGTAAACCATTAGGCCAACCAATCATGTCCCTCTTTCACCAGATGCTTGATTTCATCAATGTCCTCACATGATAGCAATACCAGATTGCCACCCATTGGGATGACCTTTGTAGCGAAGCACCCTTCCATTATAAACTTTTCTTGTAATGTGCTTATGATTTATGGGCACTTGGCTCTTCCCACGTTACTTTTTTCAAGCCATTCAACGTCTTCCTTGACTACTTGTACCTCTAAGCCATTCCATTCCTCTTTCTCATGCTTCTTTGATTGTCACTTCCTCAGTGGCAGGATAGGTCCCCTCATCATCTTGTTGCTTCTTGTATCTGGTTCACCTTTCAAAACTTCTGCATAGGACCTTCCATTTCTCTTTACCTCTATCCCTCGAACTTCCTTCACATCCCTCTGTTTCAGTTTAGTCTCCTCTCTTGAAAATATTGCTATGTTGGCTTTTAGAGATTGCTTATCAAATTTGATTTGGTTAAGCTTGTCCTCCAATTCTGTTGGGTTCTTGACCCCCAGAAAGCGGACAAAACCAAATCAACAACCCCATCTATCTCGTTTCTTAGCTATATAAACTTGTATTGCTCTCCCACATTTGATGAAAGCCTTCCACATGTCTCCAATCTCCCAATCCTCTGGGAAACTGGTGAAGAAATATGAAGTTGATTGTTCCAATACTCCCTTGCCATAACCATAAGGTGTTCTTTGTTGTCCTTTGCAGATGCCTTCTGTCATCCTTTCGGTTCCCTAAAGTCTACCTCTCGGGTGTGGATGGTTTCTGTGTTAAGGGTCAGGATATCGCTCTCTCGTCAGGTAGGATTCTGTTTGGGGCTTGCCAGTTACCGACCGACCGACCAAAAGCCGGCGGGAACGGGCGGAAGGTTCTCACTCTTTGTTTTTCTCCTCTCATCTCATTCAAGGGAGCTTGATAATTGTTTACGATTACATGAAAAAGCGTCCAATTATTCTCGACAAAATAATGAAACTGCGGTTTTTTATTTAGGTAGCTGCCGTATCATTAACACCACAGTCCCGAGCAGAGAACTTCCTATTATTATTCTTCCAAGGCAGCGTACAATCTACCTGACTCTTGGCACCTGGAGAACCTATGATGAGAAATGAGGTGAATGAAACATATATGCCTAAAACATTAATATAGACACCACTTGATTTAATATGTTTCACAATACATTTGTTAAGAAATTACATATTATTTTCAAATTTGAATTAAAAATAGAAAAACTTATATATTTTAATGATTGAATTAATAGATATTAGCAAGTGTGTTAAATTGAAAATTATGTAAATCTTTTTCTATCTGCATATGCTAATAGAACCACACAAATTTATATTTAATAAAGATTGGTATAGGTTAGATACAAAATTTTGGCTGATGATAATTTTATTTTATTCTATAAATGAGAGGTGACAGCTTACCTATGATTGGAGCTCCAGAGGTGAAGATTGATGCCATAAGAAAGCAATAAGAGAAAGTCGGTGCATTTTTGGCACGTAAGAATGATGTATATGGAAGTTTTTTTAACTCGGTACTATCTGTCATCGTGGCTAGCTCATGACTATGCATAAACATATGGTGTTAGCGTATACTCATTATCAAGTCAACCAATCAAATCTCGGAAGTTTAATTCCAACAACGTCCATTTAGGCACAATATTGGAACATGTTGATGCCCCCACACGAACTAATTATGGTTGTGATACATGCTAACCACAACAACTATAAAATTTCAAAGTTATATTTATTAATAAATAAGTGTTGTTTTGTAAGTTATATTTAAAATTTAAGTTTTAAGATTAGTATCCAAAAAAATCAATTTCTTTGAATACATCAAGCTAATGGGAGGCCACATACTCCCTTAAAATCGTTTAAGAAAATTAAAGATTAGTGTTAAGTTTGCAAAAATTAACTTGAAAACACCTAAAAAAAAAAGAAAAAAAGGATGACAATAATTGGTTGTATATTTTGTTTTTCAGCTGTGTAGAGCGAGTTGATCAGATTGGAAATGGTTCATGGCTACTTAATTTGGTGTTAATTTGGACCAAGTCATACTCAGATCGAACTATGAACATGAATTTTCCAAGGATGTGGCTCACTTAGTCATCGAAGGTTTCCTATAACGTGTGGGGAGGGTTGGAATAATTCGTTTACATTTTTCATCTGATTATTACTGTAAACACACAAGTCAATTACTCTTTTTTTGAGGAAAAGTCAATTACTCTTTTAAACACACAAGTCAAGAAAGACATGCTAGTCTCTTGCAATACCCTTCTCGAAGATGTTCAAACTTTAAAGAATTTAGGGAAAAGCTGGTTTTTTATCAAACAAAAATTCAAGAAAGGCTGGTGACTGCTGTTGTAAATCCAACCATATTTTAGGAGAAGGTCTTCCACTCCAACTTCCATGTAGTCTTCCCTTAATTCAAAAACAAAAAATTCCCCACCGTCCGCAAACCCCGCTGAGTGCTGAAATCTTTTGATAACAATTCTTATACAAACTAACAAGTTACACTCTTCCAATTCCTTTAATGGTGGCTGGTCTAAAATCTTAGTACAAGTTCTTCTTTAAACTCCTTATTAAGGAACCCAAACTTTCTAAATTACAGAAATTACACAGATGCTGCTTATAATCAGATATCAAGAAAGTAGCCTCTTTACACCCATTTGATAAACCCAAGTACATGTATCAAATAAATCTCAAAAACCATATACAAGCTGAAATACTGAATGTGAACATCGTCTTTCCCCAATTGAAAAACTAAACAGAAAAATTGACTAACCACATAATTTGCACACCCCATAATTCACAAAAAAACATGAACTTCATTCAATCTTCTTTATGATTTTTCCTTAATTGAAAAACCGAAGAGTTAGATACTCAGCAAAACCTACTGACATCTCTTTTGACGACGTTCTTCTACAGACTAATGAATACCAGCAAGCCTTGTAACATTTTATGGGGCGTGTTTGCTTACCTGAAATCACCGTCTACAATTTCCGACGGCGCTGATGCACATTTTCCTAACTTTTTCTCGCCGCCGCCTAACGTGACTTGATAGATTATAGAAGTCGGCTCGAAGGAAAAACTCTTTTAATTGATGGACCCACTGAGCCCATATTCTAAAGGCCAAATAGAGTTTTTGTGGTCGAGTCAAAGTGGGCTTGAGCCCGAGGTGCCAATCTTTTTCTTTTCAATTTTGTTGTGATTTGCCAAATTAATTAAATATTTTTTTTCAGACCTTCACTAAATTAATTATAGATTCAAACAAAAACATTTCCTATTTCAAAACTCAAGCATAATGTTTTCCCTATTTAGGTATTAGAATTGTAATTGTAACCAACAATTACTTTTGTATTAATCTGAAAATTAAGTTTTACCATATTGTTAAGCTTGCGCAAAAATAAATATATCCTAATTTGATTATGGGGGAATGGAAAGGGTACCATGCTGTAAAGGAGACTCTATTACACTTGAGAGATAGCGAGCACACTCTCCAACTCAATGCTCCCAGCGATAAGCAAGAACGAAAACAAGCCATCATTTTGCAAAAGATGCTTTAAGCTATGTAGAGCATGAAGCTGCTGGCAGAATCAACTCTAAGTTACAAACACAGGCAACAATCAAGTTAAATTTGGGGAAGGCATGGGATGTATTGTTGTTTGCCATCATATCTCTATGGCTGCACAGGAATGGATTGATTTTCAAGGACACAGCTGTAGTGGAAAATGGACTCTTTGAGATGGTACAGATGAGATCATATCAGTGGATTAGAAGCAGAACAAAATTCTGTGCTTTTTCTTTTTGCAGAGCGGCATTCGAATCCGAGGGAATGCATCAAAGCCCTGCGACTGTGATAGGATTGCTGCTGGAGGAGTTGCTTTCTGCATATTAATGGGTATGTAAATGAAGGGCGGGTGGTTTCTCTTTTAATGTTTATACCTGGTTTATGTTCTAAGCAACTTAAACTAGGGTAAGGAAGCAGTAGATTTTATACGTGGGAGCACTTCTTGTACTCCATTTTAATAAAATTTTTTGTTGTTAAAAAAAATAATAATAAATTTGGGATGCAGCGATGACCATTAGCAAACTCTCAAATTAAACGCTTTAGAACTCTGCCACCCTACCCTTGCATATGCCCATAATCACTATTTACCCCATTGCATCTCTTGCTCTCCAGATAATCTGAGCCTACGCCACCAAGGGCATTTAACCAAATGGGCCCCAAAGTTTCTACTTCTCCTTGCATACGGAAGATACGTAACTGGAAAACTAGAAGATTTAACTCATCAGGGTTAATAGTATATACATTATTTCTGTATTTATAATTGAAGCACATCGAGGTCATTCTACTTGCAAACTGCACAATGAGGCTGCACTCCCTACTTGTGAGCCACTTCAACCCCAAGGCAAAGAGCATCTCCAACGCACCAAAAGTCAACAATTCAACCATATCTCATTCCTGGTTCAAAAACTATAGCCCAAAAGTGCGAAAGACAATCCCTTGAGACGCATCCTAATAACGACTTGAGTATTGGACTTCTATCTAATATAGAGATTTTAGGTTCAAATTATAAAATCTATGGTTTTTGATAGTCTTAACAACGTCTTAAAATATGAGTAAAAGAAAAGGCAATGACAGTTCAGAATCATTTTCCTCAATGACTCTTTAAACACAGACATGCTAGTCTCTTGCAATACTTTTCTCGAAAATGTTCAAACTTCAAAGAACTTAGGGAAAAGCCGGTTTTTTATCAAACAAAAATTAGGGAAAAGCTGGTGACTGTTGTTATACATCCAACCATACTTTAGAAGAAGGTCTTCCATTCCAGCTTTCATGTGGTCTTTCCCTTAATTCAAGAACAAAAAATTTCCCATCCCCACCAAACCCTGCTGAGTGCTGAAATCTTTTGATAACATTCTTCTACAAACTAAGTTACACTCTTCCAATACCTTCAATGGTGGCTGGTATAAGTTCTCTAAATTCCTTAGTAGGAACCCTAACTCTCTAAATTACAGAAATTACACAAATCCTGCTTATGATCAAAGATAAAAAAAAGTACTCTTTTATACACCCATTTGATAAGCCTAAGAATAAGTATCAAATAAATCACAATCTTCTACAGACTTGTGAATGCTGAATACCAACATGTTATTTCCCCCAATTGAAAACAAAACAGAAAAATTGATTAACCCCATATTTCACAAACAATAACGAATTTCATTGCAGTTTCTTTATGATCTTTCCCCAATTGAAAAATCAAAAAAATTTAGATACTCTGCCAAGCCAACCCTATTGACATCTTTTGAAAACATTCTTCCACAAACTAACAAATAACAACATACCTCTCATTGCAACATGCCTTGTTACATTTTATAGTGTGTGCTTTTTTTTCATGAAATGACCGTCTTCTACGTCGGAAGGTGTTGATGCACATTTTCCTTATACTTTCTCGCCGCCGGCCGACTAGATTTGATCGATAATAGAAACCTGATCAGAGGAATGAAAGACTTTCGATTGAAGGACATACCGAGGCCATATTCTAAGGCCCAAACAGAGTTTTCGTAGCTGAGTCAAACTGAGCTTGAGCCTAAGGCCCCAATCTTTTTTTTTTTTTTCAATTTTGTTGTGATTTCCCAAATTAATTAAAGATTTTTTTTTTTAATATCTGAACCTCCATGAAATTAATTATTCAAAATAAAACATTTCCGATATCAAAACTCAAGCATAATGTTTTTGATATTT